GTTTTGTATTTGTCCTGCATGAGGTCTGGGCTTCCAGAGTGTCTCGTTTAATGCCGTTTGATGAAGTATAGACTGCTTTGGGAGGCCTATCTGGTTCTAACCACTGTCCTCTTCCATTAATGCCACCTTGATGACCTGTTGGACCATATTGGGTTCAGGCTGATGGGTCCAGAATTGAGGGCTGTGGTTTTGAGTGAGGTCCTACCGCAATGTTTCTAGATGGACAAGTAGAGTCTAATGAGAACAAACGGAAATGAACAATCAGTCCGCTTTGACACATGAATCCCGGCGAGGGGTGTGCCAGTCTTGTCTGTGTCTCCCTGACCCTCCCCTTTCGTTCCAGCACCATGAAGCTATTCACAGGCCTCGTTTTCTGCTCCTTGGTCCTGGGGGTGAACAGCTGGTTTTCATTCCTGACCGAGGCTGCTCAGGGTAAGATCAATGGAGGGACACTGGGATTTAACTGAGCACCCTTAAGGCTCGAGGCTTCTGGCTCACGTGCTAGAACGTGCCAGGTGTGTGGGGTGCTTTCCATCAAAGTGATCAAAAAGCACAAAATTTATTTTAAGCACTTACTAGGGAGAGAACAATCCACCCCCATCTCAAATGTTAGTTGACTCAAAGACACAAAATAAGTCTTGAAAAGGTATAAAATTTCACTCTGAACTAATTGCATCAATTATGATTAAAGCTATCCATCTTTTCTCCTCCTCCTCTCACCCCCACTCTTCCTTCGCTGTTTCCATCCTTCCTTCCTTTTTCCCATCCCCCTCACTTCCTTATATTTCCTAATGGGATAGTTTAGAGAGACGGTCGAGTTAGCTCTTGCCCAGGCACCTACAGTCAGTGACACTGCCCCCGCTTTAGTCTGTTTCCTGCCATTTCTGGCCTTTAACTGACATAAAGGGAGCTGGCAGCACGCATCAAGCCTGCACTAGGAACTCGGCACTTCCTGCCTTTTCGGGCAAGCAACTCTCCTGGTTTGCACAGGTCTCAAGAGTTTTCCACGACATTTTTAGTGCAACTGGGACAGTTCTAGGCAAACAGGGACAGCTCCGGTCAAGCTGAAACAGTCGGTCGCCCGCTTTAACTGCAGAATAGCTTGATGAGGCAGGCAGCTGCCCCAGCTTGGAAGGGGAGAAAACCAAGGCTTATGGTAGCTGAGTCCGTTGGCCAGGGCCTGAGCGCCAGGCAGCAGGTGGCCGAGAAGAATTTGAACCCAGCTGTGCATGAAGCCGTAGCTCTTGCCAGGTAGATACCGGTGAGAATCACTGCCTAAAGCTCGGCAGTTATCAATCTCAGCTACGTATTGGAATCACCTGGAACGCGGTAAAAACCTTTGCCGCCTGGTACCCATCCCCAGAGGGACCGAGATAATTGCCTGAGATGTGACCTGGCATCAGACTTTCAAACCTTCCCAGGGATTAGAAAGTTGATCCAAGACTGAGAAAAGGACCACTGCCCTAGCGCTTACAACCTACATCATCAGTACAGTCCATTTAGAAAGTTTTCAGGACGCCATTTAATCCCACAACAAGCAGAGAGACACGAGTCACAACGATGTGCTTTGAGTCAATGGTCCATTACTCATTCCTTGATACTTCTCTAAGGGGTGTCACTGTCTTTTGTTCACCTGGTATCCCTTTGCCGTGCCCTTTGCTTCCCAGGGGCTTGGGACATGTGGAGAGCCTACTCTGACATGAGAGAAGCCAATTACAAGGGTGCAGACAAATACTTCCACGCCCGGGGGAACTACGACGCTGCACGAAGGGGACCTGGGGGCGTTTGGGCGGCTGAAGTGCTCAGGTAGCAGGGGCTCCTGGGGATGCAGGGATGGGGGAGCAGAGCTGGGCTGCTTTGGGGGATCAGGAGGAGGTAGGGCCTAGAGAAGGACCCTGCAGGGCCACTGGACTCCTCCTCAAGTCCATCCTGTCCAGTTTCCCCATCGATGCCCAGTGCAGAGCCTGAGCTGCCTGTCGAGTATGACTTATGACGACATGTGGGCTTCTCCCCAAAAAGAAAACCTGAGGATAAGGACTGATTCCTGCCCTGGCCTATGGGTACCGTCCAGCCAATGGGTTGGGGGGCTCGCCCCGGTCAGAGCAGACTGTGCCCACACAGGTTCAGGGTTGTCATGCCTCCCTCCTGGCTTCTCTCAGAGTCATTAATCCCTTAGAAAGGTGAGAGATGAGAGGGTGGGGCTGTGATCCCCATCCCTAACTCATCTCCTACCTGCCCTGCTCTATTCCAGCGATGCCAGAGAGAATTCTCAGAGAGTCACAGACTTTTTCAAGTTTGGAGACAGCGGCCACGGAGTGGAGGACTCTGAAGCTGACCAGTTTGCCAACAGATGGGGCCGGAGTGGCAAAGACCCCAATCACTTTAGACCTCGCGGCCTGCCCGACAAGTACAAGTGAGCTTCCTCCTCACTCTGCTCTCAGGAGATGGGGCTGTGAACCCTGAGTCATTGAGTTGTATACCTCTAGGTGCTGATAGAGAGCACATGATAGATGTCTAATAAATGCTTATGAGATTGAGTGTTGAAAACTGTGTGTCATTCTACGCTGTAAGGACTGCCCGTTTGGTACCACAGTGTGAAGACCCGTCTGAAGACACGCATGAAGGCCTCGTCTGTGCCTGTGTGTTTGTGTGTAGGGGACACAATCTTAGTGCCGTACAGGGCAGACACCGTGCAACAAGTGTTCCCTTAATCAGACCCATTCCCCTTTACAGGCCCCTCTCGTTATATTTATGTCATTTCTAGGCCATTCCGTGTCAGGCCTCCTTCCTCCCTGCCACTTGGGCTTGCCTCCTTCTCTGTCCAGGGTTAATTCCTTTAAGGGTAAGTTCCTTGGTGGTGTCAGACACTGGGGAAGGGGACACAGCCATGGGAGGATTGGACTGAGGAATCCTGCCCCAGCAACTGCCACCTTGATCTTCTGTCCATTGCTCGGCAACACCTACAAACCCAGTTATTAACCAATTTCTGTCTGTGCCATCTAAGAAATGCCTCCAAAGCAGTTTGTCTCCACTCTGTGTTCACTGTCTTATTTCAAGCCTAAGTGAGGCTATGAGGCCACGTTACTTGTAAATATTTCCTCACGGCTTCTGCACGTCAATCAGCTCGCACCTGTGGAACTGGCAGTGAAAGAGCAGGACGGAGAAGACTCCTCTGTCTGTCAGGTCCCGTCCGGAAACGGACACCAGTTGTCAATTTGAGATAGGAAATTTTAACAAAAGGATTATCAGGCGATAATAGCATCGATTCCAAATGGGTTAAAGAATACCCAAGGCCGAGATCTGGATCTTGTTGGGAAGTCTTTACATGTTTTCTTAAGGGTACAGTAGGGCAATGCCCCGTGAAAGGCTGATGAACATTGCTGGGTATGAGAAGACAGAGCTGGCAAACAACAACTCCCCCCATGAGGTGCCAATGAAACAGCACGAAACTGCCCAGGGTTGCAGTTGAACTCCCTGGGAATGCTGCTAGGTTCCTGCAAACTCAAGACCACACGGAGCAGAAGGTAGAATGCCTCTGAAGTCCCGGGAAACCAGCTGTGGAAGAGGCAATTCAATGGATCAAATTCTATTGCCACTATTCACAACCCCCCAAAATTTATATGTTGAAGTCCTAACTTCCAGTGTGGTCGGAAGTGATTAAGGTTAAATGAAGTCATGAATGTGGAAAGCCGGTCGAATATGATTAGAGTCCTTATAATACCAGAGATACCCGAGAGCTTGCTTTCTCTCTTTCTGCTGCGTGGGGACACAGCGAGAAGGTGGTCATGTGCAAGTCAGGAAGAGCGCTCCCACCAGGCACCAAATTGGTTCTGATTTACATGGAACTAAGTTTCTACCCTTATTATTTTTCTCCTCTCAGAAGAACTTCTTCAAATGCTTCTTACGAAGCAGGTCCGTGCCAACAAATACCCTCAATTCCTTGTTTGTCTGAGAAAGTCTTCATTTCTCCTTCCCTTTTGTAGTACAATTTCACGGGGTACAAAATTTAGGATGTGGGGGTTTTTCTCTAAACACCCTAAATATTTCACTCCCCTCTCTTCTTGTTTGCGTGGATTCTGAGAAGTTGGATATAATATTATCTTTGTTGCTCTACGGGCAAAGTTTTTCTTTCCTCTGGCTTCTTTCAAGAATTTTTCTTTACCTTCAATTTTCTGTCTATGCCTAAGCGTAAGGTTTTTTGGCATTTCCCCTGCATGGTGTTTTCTGAGCGTCCTAGATCTGTGGCTTGATATCTGACATGGGTAAATTCTCCGTCATTATTGTTTCAGATATGTGCTCCATTCTCTCTCTTTTCTCCTCGTGATATTCCTGAGAGTATATGTTACACCTCTTATAGTTGTCTCACAACGCTTGGAATTTCTGTTTTCTGTTGTTTTTTTCCCGATCTTTGTTCTCTGCTTTTTGGTTTTCGAGGATTCTATTGATATATACTCTAACTCAGAATATCTTTCTCAACCACGTCCGTTCTACTAATAAGCCCATCAAAGGCTCTCTTCATTTCTGTTACAGTGTTTTCCACGTCTAGCATTTTTGTTGATTTTTTTTAGGATTTCCACCTCTCTGCTTCCATTGCCCATCTGTTCTTGCATACTGTCTACTTTCTTTATAGGGTCCTTAGCATATTAATCATAAATGTTTTAAGTTCCCAGTCTGGTAATTCCAACCTCCCCGCCATGTCTAATTCTGATGTTTGCTCTGTCTCTTCAAATTGCCATGGGTGTTTTTTTGTTGTTGTTTTGTTTTTGTTTTTGTTTTTTATTTTTGCCTTTTGATATGCCTTGTAATTTTTTCTTGACAGCCAGACGTGATGTTCTGGGTAAAAGTCCCTACTGTATACAGGCCCTTATGGTGGTGATGTGTCGGGGTAAGGGGAGCCTTCCATCATCCTATGATTATGGCTCACTCATTAATAAGCCTGTGTCTCTGGAATGTGAATTTCACAAGTGTTTCTCAGTTTTCTCCTCTTCACTCATGACGGTCAGGATAACTAGAGCATGCTTATTTCTCTTCCCCTGATCAGTTATGCTCTGATAATACAATTTCCCCTGAGGGCGGGTCAGGTTAAGAACAGAGAGCTCTGATGGGTTTCAGAAAGGTTCCTTTCCCCTCCCTCTGCTGGCAGCCAGAGGGGATTTTTCTAAGACATTTTCTGTGAGAACCTGGTTGAGCTCCCGAAGGTAATTCTCAGGATATTGTGGTGGGTCCCCTATGCCTGGGTTCCCCTGGAGGTTTTAACTCTCAGAGTTGCCCCCACTGAGCCTTCATCAATTCCAGCTGAAGTTTTCCTACCCAGACACTGGTGCCCCAGCAGTTTCTGCTACTGAGTCTCTGCTAGAGTGAGTTTGATCCCTCAACCCTCCAGACTATTTCTCTTGTCTTGGGGGCAGCAGTTTGTCCTGTGTCCTCACCTCTTTTATGAATCCAAGAAGAGTCGATTTTGCATTCTGCTCAGTTTTTTACTTGTTGTTAGCACATCAGAAAGAGGAGTGCTCATCCGAACTGAAGCTGATGTTATTAATTCTCAAAGTGAAGTTTTGAATAATTTTTCTATTGAAATGTGATAAATGCATTTTTTCTGCCTTTTGAACTTCATGTAATATTCTTTTCATGATATTCTTTTTATAGTAGTTTCTAAAAAGGGTTTTGGTGGCAGTGGCTACGTTTTTCTGCACCTAACAAAGAATATGTCCTTCCTCAGAGCGGTGTATGTCAGAATTTGTTGTATGGCCCACCCGCATTTAACTTGGCCGGCAGTGCTTGTAGGAAAAGGTGCATTCCTGAGCCTCCTCTCCTAGCTCCAGAGTCAGAATCTTGGAAGGGTGGGGCTAGGGATTAGCATTTTAAACAAACGCCTCAGATTATTTATGCACAGCAGCAATGAGAACAAATGTCTGGGGTTTTGCTGAGACCTGGTGATAGAATCTGTCAGGTGTTTGGAGACAATGCTCATCAATCTGAAAAACATAAAATGAATGTCAAGCAGGCATGAAAAAAAAAAACAGTCATTATGCCCTGACAAAGAAACTATCCAACAGAATCACCAAATAATAAAGACAGAAAATTAATAAGAAATATTTCATAGAATAAGCATGTGAAAAAAATTAAAACTATCCATCATTATCTCTTTTTTTTCCAAATGAGTTAGTTTTATAAAGTCCTCGATGTGTAAGTCATATCAAGACTCAATAAATATTTATTGATTGAGCAATTCAGGCCCCCGCAGCTCATCCTGACTTGGACTGTTTACAGCATCTATTACCCACTAATCTTCTTCTGAAACTTTTTTCACTGAAATATAACTTGTATACAGTAAACTGTTTAGCTCAGTAACTTCATATGTATATATAATCCTCTACGTTCCTACCATCAGATTACGATGTATTATATTTCTAGCGCCCCAAAAGATGCCTCATGCCTTCTCCCAGTTCCAGTCCCCCACCAAAGGTAATCCCTGTTCTGATCTCCCTCTCCCACTATAGAGTAGTTTTGTCTGCCTTTGATCTTCAAATTAAAAAAAAAAATTATACAATATGTGCTCCTCGTATCTGGCCTTTTCCCATTCAACATTGTATCTGTGAGATTCATTCATTCATTGTTGCTTATATCAACTGTTTGTTCTTGTTTG